GTGGTCTCCTGTCTGGCTCTGGTGGTCCTCTGCTCCGCCGGTCCTGCCTCAGTGCATGGTCTCTCCACTTCCAGGTGGTCCTCCATCCCTCCCCCTGTTCCGCCTCCACTCCACCGCCCTCCGGAATCATAAAGAGTTTTGAGCGTCTGGAAGCCGCTCCTTGGGGGGCTCTGTCATGAATCCGGTCCATGAACTTCTGTCGGCTAATCATCAGAGGTTACCCTTCCCATTTTCATTGACTCTCGCACTCACACTGTTGCATATCATCCCGGACTACATATCCCATCATTCACAGCACTGATTGCACACAGCTGGTTCACTAATTGCACACAACACTGATTGCACCCAGCTGTTTCATATCACTCCCTCACTATTTAACACTCACTCTGATCCCTTCCCTCTGCCGAGTATTGTATGCGTTTATCTCTCTCTTAGCGATAGCTACTCTACAGAGCCTGTTTCTCTTCGATAGCCTTAGCCTAGTCTTGCCTTGTCTGTTTTCTGATTATTGCTTGTGTACTTCGGACTACCTCTCTCGTCTTGCCCTGTTCGGATACTGTTTGCCCCTGCCTGGACCTCTGCATTATTGGATACCCCTCATGTCAAGCCCTCTGGATATTGTTAGCCGCTTATCGACCACGCCCGGTTTTGATTATTCTTGTGTTTTGCCCGCCATATACCTGTCTGCCTTTATCTGACCGATGCTTGCATATGGATCCGCACGTCTCACCTCTTGTCAGCCACGTAAGAATAGTAGCGTGAGATTCATGTCATTTACATGTTTTTAACACAAATTATTAACAAGCTGTAATTTAAAAGTAAAACAATTAAATGCACATAATTAAATGCATGACAATAAAAACAGCGCTCAAACAGAGAAAAGCACAGAAACACATGGTCACTCAGGACTCACACACACACTGATCTTACTGTCTATATGAGGATTTATTCTGACGTGTTATTTCACTGACAGAAGTTCAGCTGCAGTATTAATGTCATGAAGAGACTCTATAACATCTCACTGTTACTGATTCATCATGCAGCTCAAAGCATTATGGGTAGACTCTCTCGTCAGTCTATTCTGATTCATCAACACAGTTTCACTGATGATCCATTATAAACATAAAACCCAGGATAGAGCGTCTGAGTGAATGTGGTCTGGACTGTGTGGATGAGGCTCATTGTGTCAGAGACGCTGTAGAAGGACAGAGTTCCTGCACTGTGATCCACAAACACTCCTATTCTCCTGCTGATGGACTTCACAGAGAGATCAGTCTCTATGTTATTGTGTATGAATGAGTAACTGGAGTAAGAGCAGATCAAACTCCAGGACTGATCATTATATCCAAACACACATTCATTACCCCGTCCCTTCCTGCTGATGCTCTTATATGACACTGATATATCCAGATAATCTCCACTCCACTCAATCTCCCAGTAACAGCGTCCACACACACTCTCTCTACACAACACCTGCCACACATCAAATCTGTCTGGATGATCAGGATACGACTGATCTGTGCCAGAGTTAGTAATCACTCTGTTGCTCTCAGACAGACGGAGGCGTTTATTCACTGTGTTCAGATCCAGAGTGAGCTGATGGGAATCTGATGGAGATAAAACACATCAGAATCAGGAATTATGAATCTGTTTGATCTTTTCATGTAGCTGAACTCTTCATGTTCAGTGTATCATCAGTGTCTCAGTACAGTTGAGCAGATATCTCTGCAAATCATCATTTACATCAGTGGTCGCCAACCCGTCGGTAAACAGTAAAATAAGTACAAAAATGCATTACATTTCTGGGTTTATATTAATACACTTGCACTCTCAAACGTGCACTCTCAGACACTTGCACTCTCAGACGTGCACTCTCAGACACTTGCACTCTCAGACACTTGCACTCTCAGACACTTGCACTCTCAGACGTGCACTCTCAGACGTGCACTCTCAGACACTTGCACTCTCTGACACTTGCACTCTCAGGCTTGCACTCTCAGGCTTGCACTCTCAGACACTTGCACTTCCGCTAGCGATGTCACTTGCAGGCTTTATTATTTTTTATTTTGTTCTATTTATTGATTACTTTTTGTTTGAATCTCTCAACATTTTACAACAGTAGCCAGGTGGTGAAGACAAGCAAAAAGAAACTAAATTACGAAGTCACTTGCAATCTCCACTTGCACTCTCCAATACCTGCGACGTCACTTGCAATCGACACAAATCGTGCATGTTGCCAATGGAGACAAGACGCTGTGGTGGTGATTTAATGATAAAAACTAATTTAGTACCATAACCTACAGGGTCCTGCAAGAAAAAGACAAGACCCGCAAATCAGTTTATTAATATAATGAATATGTATATAGTATTTTCCTCTAACCACAAAACGTGGCATAATTTGGCATAATGGACTAAGATGATAAAGACCAAACTCAATGCTCTTGATTATTAAAATATAGCCTACATAACTAATATACAGGCAAGCAGGTGAGCCCAGAATGAATGCAACACGCACAGTTTCGCGTTAAACATTTTTCCATATAGAATAAACTGTCTACAGCTCTTTTATATCATTGTCTTTGTCCATTAAGCTACATTACGTGTTTTATTTATAATGATTTTCTATGGAAGGAAAATGTTTGCATTCTGGGCTCTTCTGCTTGCCTGTACGGATTTGATCCTTTTAAAATCACTTAATGCATTTCATAATGCACGTTCATATTCTGCTG